AAAAAAAAGCTATCATCTTTATTATTATTATTATTATTATTATTATTAGTTTTTATCTATTACTATTACTATATTTTAATATTAAGCGAAACTTTAAACGTATAAAGTTATAGTTAGTTAGTTAGTTAGTTAGTTAGTTAGGTGGTTCGGCTTGCCGAAAAATCGGTGCGAGAGTGCGTTTGAAAATGAAAAATAAAATAAAATAAAATAAATAAAAGTAAATGATAAGTAAACGCAATCGAATAAAATGACTATGACGTGGAAGTTATGTATTTTTAACTCGTCATCGTTTTACAACAAATTTGAACACGCGCATTCAACTTACATGGGGGAAAAAAAAAAAAAAGAAGAAGAAAAATCCTAATTGAAATATTGCGCATTAGCGTAGACAGTGTTCCTGTCGAGAATTATGTGTATACAGAATGTTTTGTAATACGTGTGAAATCAACTTCAAAAGTGGACAGGGGATACAAAAACTGAAAATAAACTGATTACATTAAAACTTGATTGAATTTAATAAACAAAACATGTGTGTCATCAACTAAGACAAGAATAATTTAGGAGACACAAAAAATATTGTTGAAAAATATTAACAGAGGATAATTATTTTCAATTTTTTCTATGAAGAAAATCTGATCAAATAGAAAACACATTTTTATGTTAATATTTTCATTGCTATTTGTATCCACTGTTCATTCCTTAAGTGGATTATCCCATGTATTACGAGACACCCTGTATATTACATTTCTCAACGTATTCTCTATATTTTCTAAATAAAAGAAAAGTATATAAAAAAAAAAAAACGAACGAACAAACATGGTCTAGTAAGGGGGACGAAAAAAAGGGCACTTGCGATTTAACAAAAATGCAGATTAACTCGAAATTGAAAGAAAAAAAAAAACCTTTTTTATGCGACTTATCGAATAACAAACTTACACTCTACATTAGAGTGCAAAATCTAATGAAAATGAAAAACAATAAAAAAAAAATAAATAAAAAAATATATTAATAAATACATAAAAAAAAAAAAAAATTATTCGTCGTCAGAGTAGAACTGGAAGCAAATAAAATTTTTTACATTTAACTCTAAATTAACAATTCGAAAAAAAATATATATGCATCGTTTATGAATAAACCGAAAAATAATCTCGTGAAAGTAAAAAAAAAGAAAAAAATTAAATTATTCAAAATCGAGTTCCGTTCGTCGCACTCATCGTTTACGCATTTAAAAATCACACACACACACATGTTTCACACGCATCGAGATATATATATAAAAAATAAAATTCATGTCACATGCGACGCACGTGTGTTGTTAAAAGTGCGTGCTCTTCGTATTTAAAAAAAAAAAAAAAAAAACCATAGTAACAAAAATATCGTCTCTTACTCTAAGTCATGTGCCTATGAAGAAAAAAAGAAAAAAGAAAAAAAAATACAAGAAGAAAAACGTACGTTAGATATTTAACAAACAAATAAAAAACTGAGTCCGTAGCGTTAATAAACACGTTGCATGAGTGCATATATATTACATGTAAAGCTTGCGTTTTCTCACATTTTCTTCACAAGAAAGGATGGCCCTTATAATATTTAAAAAAAAAAAAAAAAATTAATGAGAATAAGAAGAAGAAAGTAGAAAAGAAAACTAAATGGGGAAATTTAAATAAACGAGCGCGCCATGATCTCTCGTAAAAATAAAATTCAATATAAAATTAAAATAAATCAAATAAAACTTCGACTCATATACCTTGGAAAAAAAAAAAAAAAAAAAAAAACGCACTATAATAAATGTGTATGAAACGCGTGTGAAAGAATAATGTATGAAAAGTAACGAGAATCAAGAAACAATCCGTCGAAATATTTCATTCCCCCCTCTACCCCCCCTTTATAAACAAATCTTCACCTTACAAATCATGTCTTTTTTTTTTTTTCTACGCCACATAGGAATCAAATGTTCATAGAAAAATATTCATATGTATACACATCACCACACATACACGAGTTGTATTCGAGTTAAATTCGCTTCCTTCGTGTAAAACATTTTATTTACCCTATTTATATATAGGTATATAGGATTAGCAATGCTTATGGGAATTAAAGAAAATAACCAAAAAAAAAAAATCGGTAAAACAGATGTTGACAATCTGTTTAAATGTTGAAGAAAACATACAAACAAACCTATACACATCATACACACACACAGACACAGGACACGTATTTTGATCATGATGCAGCGTTGTTGTTCCCACTGTGCAATGCATACCAATGTACATTATTTCTGTTGTATAAAGCACATTGCTTCCGCTAGTCCCTAAAGTTAAATAAACGCAAACCTATAAAAATGAAATTTCAATGAAATTTTAACTGATATTTTAACAAATATGATTTTATTATATTTCCGTGTTTATTTAGAACATTGTGAAAGATATTTTAGGATGATACAGTTTTCTCTCGTAAAATAACAAAACCTTCCAATACGCTGGACAATGGTTCGTACTCGTCTAACAATAACTCGGCCCTTTCGTTGTGCGTTAAAAGGGTTGGAGTTGTGTGAACGTTACCACCGGCTATGGATTTAGGATTACCAGCTTTGCCAACTATGTCTACCGCTTGGCCAACTCTGACAGAAACGGGAAGTATCTACGATTATAAAAATAAATCATTCAAAAATTCAACTCAAAAATATAATTATATAATAATATTATTTGGATATAACCTTGAGATTTGTATCCAGTGTGACCAACCATCTTGGTTCTATAGCAGTAGCTAAACAATACATCAAGTAATGGGATTTATCCAATATCAAATTTCTACAATCCAAACATGCAACAAGGACCACCAACAATCCAGCCAATGCCGTTTGATCTAAAATTCTTGATGCATAATGCAACGGTGATAAAGATAATGTACCCTAAAGTAATGAAACGTTTGCGTTAGATATAATATTAAGAAACTTGTGTATAATAGAACACATTTTCAACAATTTCATTTACTTTTCCTAAATGAACGAGACCTTGTGATATTCTAACGAGGAATAAATGTGATGGATTTTTGGCATGATAAGCAGCTAATTGTCTAAGCATGGTTGCTAATCGTGCGTTGTTGCTACCAGCACCAACCAATCCTAATGCTAATATTGCATTATGAGCAACGTCTACGTCATTGTCGTGACTGTATTTGTTTAAAATGTCTATCAATGCTGGTTCTGGATTTGAAAGTGACGAAAGGGCCATTGCTAAGGGCACTGCACGTCTTGCTTGTGTCGGACCATATCGTCCTACCTGTTTACAAAAATTATTATTTATAGTTGGTTGGTTTTTTTTGTCTTTATTTATTGTTGAGATTTACCTGTCCAAAGATTCGTGAATTTTCTTTGCCTTCACCTAATCCAACCACTCCTACACCGAGTGATGCTATTGCTTGTGACATCCCAATTTCTCTATTTTTTTTGTTTTTGTTTTAGTAAATTTAAAGATAAATTTGTAAGTTTGTTAATGTATTTATTAATAATGTATAATAACTAATTCTAATATGGAATAACAGATCGTAAAACAATTTGATTATTATTGACCGAATATATTGTTGTATTCCAAATTAGTTGAAATATTTCTACCTCGAATTAGGTGTCTTGTTATTTGTTTGAGTATCATCAGCCGATTGATTAGACCCCGTACGTTTACCATGATTGCAACAACTAGCGACAGGAGTCGTAATTGGTGTACCATAAATACTGTCCTTCCCGTTAACGGGTTCCGAACAAATCCTTAAAAGTTCTTGGACGATTAAAACGTCACCAGTTCCAGCGTATGCGCAAATCTGGATTAATCGAAATGATTTTTCTCTTTTTTTATTGAATAAAATGTAAAAATAAATTTTGATTAAACCTGTAACATTGTTTGACAAGCAAGCCTATACGGTTCCGGTAAAACTTCTAATGCAGCTGATGGCGTATCAATAACGTCGCGACAACCCATGTAAAGTATTCCCAAGGCTAACGATAAAAACCTGTTTAAAAGATTCCTGTTTACGTGTGTTTATTATCGTTATTGAAATTAATTGGAAACTATTCATTTTTTTCTTCTTCTCTTTTTTTTTCTTTTTTTTTTTTTTGGTTTTTATATAAATGAACGTTATACAATGTAACCTGTAATGTGTATTGGCAAGTTCTTCTAATGTAAGTTCTAATAATTTCTGCAATATGATAGATGAAATATTAGAATTGGCTGTACCAACGTAAATCAAAGCTAAACCAATAGCCGACAATCCAATAATTTCCATCGTACCTACAAATAAATGATTAATAATTCATTATTCTCAATATATCGAATTCGATTAATAATTCCCCTTCCAAAAAAAATGTTACTTCGTTTATCATTCAATGCAGATATGAATAATTCCCCAATAACGGATCGTTGCGATCCGGCATAAGCCAAACTTAATCCTAAAATTGCACCAATTCGTAAAGTTAAATTGTCCGAGAGAACATAATCACTTAACAATGCCAAAGCCGGATCGCATTCATTTTTAACTCCACAGTTTACCAATCCGATTGCCAATAGGGCACCTGACTTAATGTAATCGTCATTGGTATAAAGATATCTAATTCAAATATAATATATTTTTATATTTCTATTCTGAGATTATAAGAGTTATAGCTTAGAATATAATATATGTTATAGTTCAAGTGGAAAATTCGGAATTATGAATAATGCCAAACAATAAATAAATAAAACCGGAGTATCATTCTATGGTAATTTCTATGAATTTAAATGTAATAATCTATGAGTCTAAATGTAATAATCTTCTACTATGATAAATAACAGTGGGCCCTCCTACATCAGGGTGTGTATTGTGTTGTGTGTGTATATGGGTTCTCTAAAATGCCTAGAAAAAGTCCGTAACAATTCTCTTATTTCATTGCTCATAATTTCGGCATTTCCCACTCGGACTATAACAAATATATAGTTCAGATTCACTTGTCGATTGGTACTAATCCACCATCCACGTCCCAAAGGTGTATCAATCCTAAGGATGCTGTTGCCGATAACATAGCGTGACCCTAAAACATTTAATATTCATGCACATACCCTATTTACTCATATCAAAGGGTAGCTAACAACCGAAGGATTAAATTGATAAATTAGGTTGACATTAATTTACCTTATTTTTGTATACCCAACAATCTTTAGTATTTGACATAAGTTTGTCTTCCCCAAATCCGGCATGAACAAATGCAGTAACGAAGCTTGCAGCTAAATTAGATCTGACAGAATCGTAATCGATATTTCGTCTGGTTCCAGTTTCCAACCATGTTTTATAAATATCTTCCGGAAGTTTAGGTTCCAATATATCCAATTCTCTCGCTAATATTTGAAAGTGTGGATTGACGTGTCCGTTGCTTAAAATATTTTCAATTTCATCCGCGTCATCGCCTTGATATTTATTTATTATTAAATGATTCTTAATAAAAAGAAATCAATTGTAAGATTGATGAGAGAGAGATAATCGAATGGATATAAGTTTATTATTACGATTAATAAGAATTATTTATACCTGTTGTCTTGCAATCAAAAATGCTAATTGTTTTCGTATTAAAGGATCAGGACACGTGGTGAGACACTTGAAAACCAATTCCGAATTGGCCAATTGTATTGCAATTAACATTGCTTTGCTATAATCACCGAATCTTATATACTGATCGTATACGAATTCTAGTATCTGTTGTTTTTCCATTTCTTCGCTAAAGTTAATATTAAATTAATAATAAAAAAAAAATACGTCAAAGAAATCAAAAAGATTTTGTTAGATAAAAGTATTTAATTGATTAATATCGATTAATTTAGAATACATGTCTAACGAATTCAAAAAAATATATATTCTTAATATAAATATATCACAAATAGTAAAATAAATATTATGTATTATAATATATCAAACAAACAAATTTAAAGAAATTTTGATTGAACAAGAATTATTAACTAACCTGTAAGCAGCGCAACTGGTTAAATAATGGCAAACTCTTAAAAAATTATTACAATCCAAATAATCGCGTAAAAAATGAATTTGATCAATTTCCAAACACAAGTCACAGGCTTGTATTTCGGCATTGTGTTTCATATTAAATTTAACGATACTTTCGATCAACGGTGTTAATCGTGACCTATGAGAAATTAATTATCCAATTGTTTAACAAAAAATATAACATCTTCTATTATTTGTATTTAATTTTATTCCTTTAAAAACCTGATATTATGTTCGTCCTTGATCGGTGCACTTGTCCATTCATCAACTATCTCAGTTTCTAATTGTCTAACATATTCGTGACCCCATTCACCGGGATTTTGAACCAAACCTTTTAAACAAAATTCCAAACATTCTCTTTTACCAATAATAGTCGATGAAGTTTCAGCTATAACCAATACGCTCAAAATTTCGGCCAACAATTTTTTAACATCCTTTCCCTTTATTTTATTATAAACTTCTTTCAATCGTGGATAATAATCTCGTAAATATTTCAATGGTTTCGGTACGGAGGTCATTGATGTGGTAGACGTTTGTATTAAAATTCTAAGATTAATCAATGCACGTATCATAGCATTCTCATCTTTACCCTTTTTTTTTTCAAATGAAAAACAAACAAACAATTAACGTGATTAATTAAACGTGATTAAAATAAATAATTGTTCACCATCAACACGTCAACCAGTTGCAACAAATCTTCTTGTAACCTCTTATCTTCGTCATTCTAATAATAAAAACAAATTTTTCATTGAAATAAAATGAAAAGGAAAAAGAAAAAAAAAGAAAACAAAAATAATAGGTGCGAGTAATAAATTGAAATAAATTAATTAGTTAATCGAACAGAGAGATTAGTTTTCTTTTTTTTACCATTTCATCTTTTTTATCCTTGCGAGAGGTAGCCATTTTGATATTGACTTTGATATTGAATGCAAAATCAATCGCAATGGCGTGTATAAATCAAATTTTAATTCAAACAAGTGTCACGTTTGATTTGTTTTTTTTTTCTTCTTCTTTCTTTTTTTTTTTTTTTCTTATTTTCCGGTTTTCTTCTTCGCAAGAGAAAAATCGATAAATGGGTAATAAAAAATAATGCATATTTTTTAAATTATTAAT